AGGTTGGATGATCAATCGAGCTGCGTCGGATATCGCGAGGTAGTCACGGCGAGAGGAAAATTCGAAGGATCAAAAATGCCGATTAATGTAAATATTTCAGTTGTTGGTAATATCCGTGGTGGCGGCTAGATAGCTCGGAGTCTGCGAGATACGAGCGGTAATAAGGTTGTGGTGATTAGCCTACGGGAATGCAAAATGCAATAAGCACCGCGATAGGGATAGAAGTTTATGCGCGCGTGCGTGAATGGCGATTGATGGCCGGCGATACTTCCCACGTACAAAGTCCAGAGTTACGAAGCTCGTTACATCGGCCTGCGTATGACCCATTTTCGCGCTTTCGATCGTGCTTTCTAGCGGGAGAACTCGCGGCTATTTTCATTTTAGGAAATCATAACCAGTCGGATGGGATTTTCCATCTCGATTGGGATCGGCATTCTGATGTTCATCTGCTGCTGCTTTCTTGTAAAAGCAAGACTCGCGCCGGCGGGTGAAAATAACTTTTGTTGCCGGGACGATTAACATTCTTCCCTTGCGGAGCTGAGACGACGATTAGAAGTAACCGCGGTTATAATTTTAATACATTTCTTTTCGCTTCGGAGTATCGTCATATTTTTTTTTTTTTTTTTTTTGGACCATTAATTGGCCGACATTAAATCATCAAAGCCCATTGGCTTGATTTATTTCAAATCGTTTTTTATTCACGCCCGGGAGAAGAAGACTTTTATATAGAATTTATGCATATACGATAATCAGGCTTAAGGAATAAGACGATAGAGGGAAAGAAGCTCCTCGTAGGGGAGGAATGAAAGATAGATAGAATGAAATAAGACGACATTCGCGCGCGATTTATGTCAATGTATTCGTGGATAAATAATTGTCGAGACTTTGTTTAAAATACGAATGTGCTGGCTTTTGTGCTGTTGAAAAACATTAATATAATTCATATAATTACACTTATTATGGAAATGTAAACGCTCGTATATTTTTTTTTAACTGCAATAGAGTTTTACTGCTATAAAGTCGTAACGTTCTTAATGCAAATGTGGTAATTCATCGGGTATATCATAAATAATAAACGTATGCATGAAATATCGTTATCTACGATAAATCGAAATATCCGTTCGGACTACGCAAAATATCATATAATAAATTTAACAAATTATCTTATAAAGTGCACGTTGCTGATTGATCGATCGAAAACGACAGCTGTGAAAAGAGAGGGAGAGAGAGAGAGAGAGAGAGTGAGAGAGAGAGAGAGAGAGAGAGAGAGAGAGAAAGGATTCTTTGAATAAATCGCCCGCGGCAAGTGTACAAAACTAATCAGGAGATATTATTATAAAGATGAGCGATTGACATTGACTTGGCACGACTTGATATCGAACTGCCTTTACTGTATTTTCAAACAAGCCACCAAACGTATTCAAATAGATACATATTTTGCGGAAAATATTTTAAATACATTAATTACGAGCTCTCGGTAGGGAGTAAACTTTTCGAAATCATAATTTCAGCTCCTGGTTTATCTCTTTAATCTCGCAATTTCACACAATCCATTTGCACTTTGTCAAGTAAATTGGGTATATCGTAGGCATTTTTACTCACATTAATTACAGTACAATTAGATTTGCAAATAATTCGGAATCCATCGAGCATTGATATTCACGTTATATTCTACGTAAAATGCATGAAATTAGTCTCGTCGTGCTGTTTGAAAATTTATATATTTATCTCATTGGAAACTATAAAATTGCTGGATAAAAATCGATTAATTTTACCCAATGAGTTCATATGCCATTTCAAATGAAGCATAATTCCGATGCGAAATTATTTTTCTCCGAAAAAGCGATTATCGTTATGTAGCTTTTATTTCAAGAAAGCCGCTCATAAAATAATAATGAAAAAAGAAAAAAAAACATAAGAAAAAATCTCGGAAAATCGATATTCCACGGGTTAAAATTGACGCATTGAATGCATTCAAAATTGATATAAAAGGAGACAAAGCAGTTACCCTCGAGAAAGAAAGAAAAAAAGTGAAATACTCTATTACAATCATAATGATGCTATTATAAAGACATCGTTCTCCTTCATTCTCCTTCGTTCTCTTTCTTTCTCATTCGGCTCTACAACAAGTAGAAGTGAATAGAACACTTTTCTTCCCTCGTATGATTAATTCATCCTTCCCGTTAGATTTTCGAACTCGTTTGTTTACCGACAATTCGAGCATTCCAGGCATAACGATATATATATATATATTGAAAACTTTTTCAAAACTATGTCTTCCTAAACGTATTAAGCGTTGAGATTTTTGGCTACATGTCATCTTGGTTATTTATATCGATGTAAAAATAATTGCAACTGCAATTAGTATCTCTGTTTCGCGATAGATCCAGCTAGATCTTTGACCCGACCTCGAGCTATTGCCCAAGGGAGTAAGTAATTTTCCTTAACTTTTTCCAGTTCTGGTTAGCATAAAACTGTGCAATCCAATTATGCTATCGGATTACGCGTCGTGTTGGCGCAACGTTGAAGCTTCGCAAGCTCCGCAAGCCCCGCGAGCTTCCCGAAACTTTTCACTATGCTTTTAATGAGTTGTGAAGCGAACGTCTTACGGCAGCAGCGACTAAATTTAAAAATACCTCTTACGTAGGTCCGCTACGTCAAAGCCAAATTGGATATTATTTCCGCGTCTCTCGCGTTTATACAATTGACAAGGATGTAAAGTATATACATATAATTGAGCGTAGCTTACACTTACTCACTCAGTGGATAAAAACCCGCATAGTCGTTTTAAGCTTAATACGTTAAACTACTTTGAATAAACAACTGGGAGATTTCGTTTGCTTTGGCAAAATATTCAAATTCTTATTGGTTTACATAAAGTAGCTTAGTATCTTATCGAATTAGATTATTTTTTTTTTGTTTTTTGTTGTTGTTGTTTTTTTTTTAAATCTTAAATAGCGTGTGATCGAATGTTTGGCAATGATCCTTTACGTTTATTTAATTTTTTATATAATGCATTGTCACGATAGAATAGAATTTTCATTTCTCTGATGTATGCTGTGTTGATTTGTCTATCTATCGATTTTATGATTCAATTATTGTCCTTCGTATTATTTCAATTCATTAAGCCAATAATATGCTAACGAATGTTAATGTAACTAAAAATAACTAATTTGCTTGTAAATTTAAAATACTTTGCGCTGCTTTTTATATAATTTGCAGTTTTCATGTTAATTAGCAAAATTGCAATAATTAAAGTGCTCTTGTGCAACATAATTTTAATCAACCATAATTGTTTTATATTAACTTGACATGTTTATGTCGAAGAATAAAATAAAATTTATAATTTCATATTATTGCATTTCCAGTGAAATAACGATATTTTCAAATAGTAGTACTTTCGTTAAAAAAAAAAAAAAAAAAAAAAAAAAAAAAAAAAAATACAGTTAATATTAATATATTTTAGCTGATTAAACATTGCCTTGAATTTGCAAATAAGGTAAAACTTCTTATCAGTAATGTATTACCGAGCTTACATATAAATGAATGTGCTCAGACATTATGCTAAAATTATCTTTCGTAATCAAAGAAAAACTATTTTACCGCTTTTTTACGCGAAATTAATATATAATGAAAGAATAATTATGAAATTATATGAAATGAGTATTCCTTCGATATGTTTGTTTGTAATATTTTAAAAATACGTTGAGAAATATCTCAAAGAAGCAAAGAAAGCCGGTAAAGCCTCAGAGATAATTCATCCAGAATTACAGAATCCAGCTATCATTTTAGATATACATTTTGTCATTTTTCCTAACAATTCAATCTGGAACAAGTCATGAGAAAATTGTAAAGAGAAAATTCAATAGTCAAACAAAGAAATAAAGGACAGTAAAATACAAAAGGTAACTGGATTATGAACGACAAACACAATGAATTAGTATCCCTAGTAGAATTGTAAAGGACTAATAAAATATTCTTGGCAAAAATACAGCATTTGGCGAACAATAGAGGAAAACAATTGAACTGTCTCAATTGTCGATATTGTCCGAGCGGAACGAACGAAGACGATTGAAAGCACTTTGATTCTACATTATCTCTCTCACACACACACACACACACACACACACACACACACACACACACACTCCCACTCTCTCTCTCTCTCTCTCTCTCTCTCTCTTTAAATGTCTTATGCGGTCTTCGATGTGCCACTGGTACTGCACACCCACTAAAAATCCTCTCGAGAATCGTTAACAAAAAAAAAAAAAAAAAAAAAAAAAAAAAAAAAAAAAAAAAAAAAAAAAAAAAATCAAGAAAACGCATTTGTTCATTAGCTTCGTACGCGTATGTCAGCTCGTTAAGTCACGTAGGTGTAAACTATGTCATATTAATCAAGTTATACGAAGAGCATGAATCGTCGGTACGAGATCGGCGTAAAGAGGGAGAGAAAGAAAAAAGTAAGTATTTCTTTGCACGACCGATTTATTATCGATTCGATCTCTGGCTGGGGGCAATTTGACAATTTTTCAATTTAATCGGCAGGGCGCATGCGTCGTGAAAACTTCCGAATTTGGCATAAGACCGATAAGCTTGTTTTATCTTTTCATTTTTTTTTTTTTATTTTTTTTATTTCATCAACGTCGAAATACTCGCTCCTCTCAATGAAACGACGTAATTGGAACTTTTTTCTTTAGATCGGTTAGCGGTATTTGCACAATGCCGGCTCAATTGCACTTAATTCACGTTGGCCCGGCTGGGCTGACTAACCGACAAAGCCAAAAGAGGTTCGGCGGCGGCGGCGGCGGCGGCGGCGGCGGCAGCAGCGACTGGGGCGGCGGCTACGGCTGGGGCAGGGGCAGGGGCACAGTGAGGGAAGCCGTGACGAGACGCGAAGGTGGTCGTGTTCACGGGGAGCGACTTACGCGCACACGCACACGCACAGCCACGAGGAGTCACTAGGTCCTTACAGCTAAGAGATAAGTGCTCGCAGTGTGTACCTCTTAATGTGAAACTTATTGCTCCCGAAGACCATCGTGTTGATGCTGGCCAGGAGGCTGTAAGCTCCGAGGTTCAACATGGGTGGAGCGGAGGGTCGCGTCGCGGGCGCAGTGACGCGCGCGGCGTCGGCGTCGGGGCGACTGCGGACAGCTGAGCCGAGGAGCGCCACCCGAGCCGACGACCGGGAGTCGGCCGGGAGTGGGGACCGGCGACGCGCGCACTCTCGTGTCGCCCATTGGATGGCCTGCGGAACCGACTCCTCTCTTCCTCCGCCGCCTATCCTCTCCGCGCCTTGTCATCCCCCGCCTCCGCCCCCCGGCCTGCCCAACACCTCGTGCCCCGGCACCTTTTACGTCGTCTCTCAGCCCCTCGGTCGATTTCGACGCGCGCACGCGGTTACGAGCCCTACCTCTCCGACTACCTCTCCGGACAACCGGCCCTTTATTGCTACCCTGCACTCTTTGCAAAAGGCTCTCGCCCATATCGAAGGGCCCTCAAGTGTCCCCGGCTGGATGTAAAATAAAGGATCTTTAGTACGGAGGACTTTGTTTATCACTGATGACGAGGGACGATGCGAGTCCCTCGAGCGGCTAAGCGATAAAAAGAAGGGAGAGTGTGTACGAGGAAACAAGAAAGGGCGATGGGACAAATATTTTGTAGCGTTGGAGAGATAGAGGAGAGAGCACTCCGACGCGAGAGAGAGAGAGAGAGAGAGAGAGAGAGAGAGTGATGGAAGAAGTTGTGATTTTCGAGCAAACATCACTGTTATTCCGTTAACATCCATCGGAATCCATGTTAAATGCTTAATGGCCGCGTAATTTCTTTCAATTGCAGCAGTTTTGTGATTTTCGAGCAAACATCACTGTTATTCCGTTAACATCCATCGGAATCCATGTTAAATGCTTAATGGCCGCGTAATTTCTTTCAATTGCAGCAGTTTCGCTCAAAGATTGCTTTAGAGAGTGCGTCAAGTGTTTTCTCGACGCCTACTTGGTCGACTCGTTATTAAATGTATTTATTTGCATGTTTTATCCGTAGGCGATATAAATGTTTCGTGTTATCGGCCGTTGGCTACTAATACCTCGGCTGCTTCTCTTCAATTATTTACATTTCGCGTCGTAGGGGATACTTAATGCGGTGTCTTTTAAAGCGACACGTAATGAGTGTATTGGCAAATGTATCGTCCTGTCTAATCGACAGGATGAATAATGCCAAATCCGCAAACAGTAAAGCACGGATTAATTGGGCTTAAAGAAGTATAGAAAAAAATTTTTTATTTAAATGAGCAATATTTATCGCTAATTCATTTTCCACGGCAAGTTGAGCTTAATACGCCCGTTCGTTCGTCTAGTCATTAAATATTGTTCCGCGTAATGAGCACAACGAAAAATTTTTCAATTCTCAACGTATAAGGCGCATTAGAGCATCGCCAGAATGGAGATTAAAAATAATTGCACAATAATAAAGATGCTCCGTGAAAAGTGTAATTATAGCCTGTTGTTGTTGGATGGAGTCGGAGCTGCGGGACTTGGAGCCTGTGCGCATCGAGCAAAACGATATTTCATAAGGGGACGCCTGAGACGAATGCACGGACACGGAGGAGCGAACGAAGGGGGGGACGGGGCTGCCGAAGCTCGAAATCCCCATTGGCCTGTGATCCAGTCAAAGCAAGGCAAAAAAAAGCGAAAAAAAATAGATAGAGAAGAGAGAGAGAGAGAGAGAGAGAGAGAGAGAGCGAAACGAGAGACGCCGGTGGTGGTGGCCAAAGCCAACGAGTAAATTCAAATCGGTGCGCAGTCGACGATGAGCGCAGCTGGTTTCTTATCTGTCACGCGAGATCCGTTACACTTAAGCGACACGCGAATAAAAGAGAAAAGTGTCGATTAGACGCCGTCCGTTTCGCGCGTGCGTCTCGCCACGATTCTTTACTTTTCTCGCTCGGACGAGCGTGGCTCGGGTCGACGGATGGGTCGCGGGTGCGGGCGATGGATGTAGGTTTCCTCAGGCGCCAATGGGATATCGAGTCGCCGCTCGACGATGATGATGAAGTGACGAGTCCGAGACAATGAGATGCATCCGAGTCGTCTCGGCTTTCAAGGTCGGTGGCACGTCATTTGCCTGGCCTTTGCATTGAAATGATTGTCGCGCGAGACGAGGACACAGGACGAAGAACCAAGCCCAGCCAGGTGGTAGCCTGGCGTTATCGCACAAACGTTTATCACCCTCCAGGCATTCTTCTCATTGTCGTCCTAGTCATCGCCAACGTCCCTTCCTCAACCCTCCGCCGATTCGCTCGCATCGATCGATCGGATAACGCCTTTCGCTCTCCCCACGATATCCCTAAACATTCGCCAAATAGAAAATTCCGATCCGCGATAGTTTTTACTTTGCTTGATAAAACGCCTCCTTAAAAATATTCGCGAGAGGGAATAAACGAGAGCTCAAGGGGCCCATTAATAAATAAGCTTATTCAGAAAGCTATAAAGAAAAGTATGGTCCGCCTATCTCCGACGGGATCTAGAAAATTTACATTCAATGCCTTTGAGGATTAATATCAACGTCGAGACACGCATTAGCGACGACGGGGTTTTTCGCTCAAGCGCAAAGTCCGAGGCGCGATGATGCAAATGGTCGCGGGGGCGGAGGCGCGGACCGCGGAAGATTGGGTGGGTTGAAGGGAGGGAGTACCAAAGTCGAGGTAAAATGAATCGTTGGCAGTTATCGAGTGAGTTTTCTAACTCGTAAAATGTGGGCGCCACTCCGACTGCCGCCTGTAACCTTCTCTCGCTCATTCCCTCCTCTCCTCTCCGTCCTTAGTTCATTATCCCATCTCCCCCCCCCTCCCATCACACTACGCCAAATGACAGAGGAGCAACCGACGGACCTCTAGCAGTCTCCGGCACCAAGACGCTTTACTTCGCACCTGCGTCATTGCGTCCGTTGAAAGTGGGAAAGCTATCGGAAAGTGAGAGAGACACGCGCCAAAGTACTTGCAGCTCGCGTAGATGAGAAATTAGCACGGGGATCGTATTTCTAATGCCACTAGCGAGCAAGAAATTTGAGGCGAGCTACTACTGAGCGACTGCTAGACTCGCGTGCGAAAAGTCAAGAGCGTACGCATCGGGATGTTGCGCGGGCCTTGGTAGAGGCGAGTAAAGCGAGTAACGATAGCTCGTTGCTTGAGGCGGGCATGAACGAAATTCTCTTGACTGCCGATTTCGGGAAGAACGCGCTCTTAGGCGCCATTGTGCTGGCTGATTAATTTGACTAGCACTAAGGACGCGACGTGCGGTGCCGGATCGACGAGGAGAACTTTCTCGACGCATTTTCGCGCCAATAATCTACGAGAAAGGAACGAATTGCGGAGATCGACTGGGTCGTTTTAGTCGCAGTCGGGCATGCAAGAGCCGGGGACTAAATCGAATAGTGAACAGCGACAGGATGAGGTACGACAATTCTGCCCTCGGCAGGATTACGAGCGTACCTTCAACCCCCTACTTAACGCCCCCCCCCCTCCCCCCGCAGATCCCGAGACGTCCTTTAACCAATATGACATTGACAATGGAATTTCGAATGCCGATAGGCCTTAGCGCGTAAACGCGACGACCTTCCGAACATCGAAGGCTCCGGGCTCCAGCATCCAGCCGCCGAAACAATTAATCCAAGAAAGGCCAATTAGGATTATTGGGAGGGAAGATTAGGAGGAGGCACATGTCCGTGGGATTGAGAAGCGGCTTGAGCGTCGCAACCGAGGCCGAGACGAATAAAAGTCGTAGAAGATTTCGCAGCGAAATGCGACGCGGATGAGGACGGGACGGCGGTCGAGGAGGGCTGGCGAGCGGGAAAGAGGGAGGAAGGTACCAAAGGAGGGGCCAAGCAAGAGAGCGAGACGCGCGACACCGGACACGAGTTTAAGGACCGACTGTTGTGCCGTAGAAAACGGTACCTCATCCACTCCTACGCGCCTCTCTTTTCTGGCGAATCGTACACACGCGACGTTATTGTATCTACCGCTGGTAGCTGCATTATGTTGTCGTTGTCGTTGTCGTTGTCGTTGTCGTTGTCGTTGTCGTTGTCGTTGTCGCTATATACCGTTACGGACGGGTCTTGGCTGCACGTATCTAGATGAGTAAATATACGTTTATATTGTCCGCGGCTTTGTTTTCCTCGTTCTTGAAAAGTGGATCTCGTTGGCTTGGTGATTGGGGGGGGGGGAGATTATTCATGGAGGAATCGTATCCGCGAGCCTCTCCTCGATAGACCAGCCCCCGTGCCATTGTAAATTAATATTAATTCCGGTATAATTTCATGCCTTCTCACTTTCCCATGAGCATCTCTTAACACGTACGTGAATATTTAGGTTGACAGGAAAGAAACGTTAAACTGGCTCGTTGGACGTACGGCGTCCAATTTTTAATTCCCTCTTCGAAAGTATGTACACAAGGTGGTTGCTGTTTATTTTCGTTGTTGGCCGTGTTGTGCGTAATACACAAGTAGCCACGAATGCGAGAGCTCACGAAAATTTCAAGGACAATTATCTTGTTGCTTGCTCGAGAGTGGGTGAAAGGGAGAGAAAGAGAAGATTTATCGCGATAGCCAAAAGAGAGAATTAACTGCCGGAGGAGATGCTACTGTAAGTGCGAGTCGTGTAAATGATTTTGTACGTAATAAACGAGTGGAAACAGAGTTATCTTAGAGGATAATTAATTAAACGCCAGTTACCTAATATGCGAATTATTATTGTATGGCATTGAATAATGAATGGCTGGTTTTGTGTGTGCACTTATCGCCGATCGTACGTCACAAACATCTCGGACGTATTATTTTTAATACACAATCGAATAAAAATATATTGCATTGGCGCTAACATTATAATATACGTTGAATACTTCGTATTTTTCAATATTCTTTGACTTTACTTTTTTTCAGTCACTTCAGTGCCGATGCCATTGACTTTTCCATGTCGAATGTGTAACTGTTTAACCTTTGATTTAAATGCCGATTATAGTTACAATCTAAGGATACTTAATGAAATGCTGACTAAAGCCACTTATATGTGATATTGAACGATGTGATATTCGTATAATACGATGGGCAATGTCGCGCTACAAATGCAATTTACCACAAAACGCGAATTTCGCTGCCCACGTACGAATGCATGAATTTGGAATGAAAAATCAGC